GGAGGGGGGTACCCCTCATACATATATTGGAATTTTGAAGATTAAGGTAAAACTTTTACCTGAACCATATTTACCTTACCAACATAAGCTGATAAAGCCCCAGATAAATATCACCAAGACACTATTTGCAGCATGGGTGTGGCATGTGATATGCATATAAAAAATCGTTAATTTCACAAATATTTGAGTCCCAAAGAGTGTGCAAGGTGCAACAATTAAGTGCTTGATCGTTTGAAACCAACTCAGCAACTCTTAGGAGAAAGACATAGCACGGTGTTGCTGTAAACTTCACAGCCTAAAGTTCTATTTGGTCACACCGGGTTGCTAGGATGTAAACTGGCTCAACAGGACCTAACACCAACACCACCGGGTGTTCAACACTGTTGTTGGCACTAGGGATTTAGTAGCAAAAAAAAGTCTACCTTGTGGAGCTTACATTTCGGTCAAGAGAGTCAGATAATACACCATAATAAAATAATTAATAAAATCAATCAGCAGGCTGTACTGTCCATCAGCTTTTGGAGGGACTAGACAAAGCAAAGGAAGGCAAATAAAGAAGAGTTGCAAATCTCATAGGAGTTGTCATTTTGGAGAGTGATGGGACCTGAGCGAAGACCTAAAAGAGGGCGAGAGCGTGCCATGTGGAAGGTCTGAGAGTCTTGGGGGTGGCGCTGACCTGCTAAATTGAAGAAAAGCCCAGAGCGCAGCCGGAGTGAAGTGACAAGGGAGGAATAGGAGACCAGAGAGAAGGGGACTCACCCATAAGGGGACCCTACTCCATCACTTATCCACGTAAAGTGGGCACAAGGTATAGACAGGACTTAGTGATCGACTAAAGTTAAGCTGAGTCAAAGGAAAAGTTCAGTTTCTAATTTTAAACTACAAATGACGTTATGTAAGCAAACAAGTCTCACCTTCTCACCGGCTGTGCAATTTTGCTTCGAGGCAGGTTATTCCCATTTATTGCCAAAGAAGGTCTTGGAAGTGCACTGCGGCCCATGATCCCAGAAGCTGCCGTTTTGTTTGGGGTGGGGATTCCTGTGTTGGAATGTAGCTGTGAGCCATTGGATAAAGGCATGCTGGCGCTGCCTTGAATGGTTGGACTCACATAGGCTGTGGCTTTAAGAGGCTGCCGGACAGACACTGGGAAATGTCCCATGCTGTGAACTCTGTGTTGAAGCTGTCCTGGTGATGGAACTAGAAGGGAAAATGACATGCACATTATTAAATGGGATTTCTGTTCAGAAAAGCCATTATTTTGAGAGTATAACATGAAGGGGCTTCACAATTTCTCAGGAAAAAAAACCAGAATTGAAAAATCGTGGAATTTTCGCACAAATTATGAAACCTCTGTATCGACAGGCTTATGTTCTTGTTAGTTGTCTTTGAGTCATCCTCCAACTCCTGGACACGTACCAAGCACAACAAAATCAGGCAGCTGTGATCCCCAGGGTTTTCAGCCACTGGTCTTCAGAGGCAGAGCGTCAGGTCTTCCTGCTGGTCTTCGTCTGGAAGCTCTGCTAAAGCTTGCTCAGAGTCACAGCCACACACAAGCCTCAACTAATGGAGAAGCAGTGGCTATGGATGAGGTATTTTGGCTGCCGGGAATCAAACTTGGGACTCCCACATGGAGGATCAGGGCTCTACAACTGAGCCTCCACTGCTCCCCATAGTGAGTATTTCTACTAAAATCAAGTAAACTCTCACCCACAGCTATCCTAGGGAGCAGAGTAGAACTGGGATTCTAGAACTGTGTCTTTTATGGGTACAGAGAGCCTCATATTTCTCCCATGGAGCAGAGGGTGGGGTTGAACATCTGACCTTGCATTTAGCAGTCTACTATGCCACCAGGGCGACCTTTGTATTGGGCTGCTAAGTGCAAGGTCAGTCCTTTGAAACCACTAGCTGCTCCATGAGAGAAATAAGAAGCTCTCTTCTCCCATAAAAAGCTGGTCTCAGAAACCCATGGGGCAGTTCTGCCCTGTCCTATAGGGTCACTATGAGTCAGAATCCACTCAATGACAGTGAGTGAACGATGGTGAGAAAGAATCCCTGGTGGTGCACTGGTTAAGTGCTCAGCTGCTAACCCAAAGGCTAGCTGTTCAAACCCACCAAACACTCCACACACAAATTACAGCTTGGAAAACCTATGGGACAGTTTCACTGTCCTGCGGGGTCATTATTAGTTGGAAATGACATCGCTGAGTAAATATATTTAGAAGCCAATTATAAGCACCGCCTCTTTTCTTTTAGTAAATTCAATAATCTCTGAGCTATCACAAGATAAATTCTTCCTTGCTTGATTAGAAGAAATGAGGATTTTTACTTGTTGTTCTGGAGGTGGTTTTACAAAAAACATGAAAAGACCTAACAATTGTAATAATAGAAAGAAGGACAAAGAGGGTGACATCTCTAGGTTGGTATTGCTGGTTGTCATCCAGTGGATTCCGACTCGTGATCCCATGTGTGCACAGGAGATCTGCACTGTGGGCTTTCAGTGCCTTTCAGAAGGAGATTACCATGTCTGTCTTCTGAAACACCACTAGGTGGGGTTGAACTGCCAACCACTTAATTAGCAGTTCAGCACAAAATAATTTGCTCCACCCAGAAATTCCATTTTTTAAAAAATAATACTGCCCCTAGGGACAAAAAAGTTCATCAAAAATGCAATAGACATGTATATACTGTTGTTTACAAACTAGCTATGCTTTTGCTGCCCACTACTTAAATTCACTGTAAGTTAAAAATGAACATATCCTATTTCCTGAATCAATTCGACTGATTGAGTCTGATGAGCCATATATGCGAAACAAAAAGCAAAGAGAAACACGCACATTTCTATGCTTTTATTATTTTAACATCTTTGAAAATAGTTTCTCCAAAAATTAGTTCTGATCAAATGCACAGAAATGAATTCTATACATAGGGGTAGTTATATGTGTATAGTCTTCAGAAAGTTCAATGAAAAACTTTGGTCATATAACTGTCTGTCAGAGTTTTTTGTTCCTGTTTAGCTTTAGGATGGAGCACATTTCCATTGAGCTGATGACAATCATTGCCAAGATCCTACTCAACGGTGACATTTTTAAAATGGAAATTTGGCCTCCTGTAGACACGCCAAAACTTAATCTCCACAACCCAAACAGACACCATGAGCAGAAATGGGGGGGGGGGGTTGTAAAGCCCCCATCCCCAATGTAGAAACAAAGGAACATTATGTTGAACACATTGGAACCCTCTCATTACCAGGTAGAACATATGAAAAACCAATGATGGACCGTATGGTGAACGGAAAGAGAGAAGGCAAAAGCTACTTTCAAAGTACACCAAAATACAACCTCACTCGGGGAAATAAGATGTATGGACTTGTGGAAACTAGGACCAAAGTAATGATATGTCAAATTAAATGTGCTCTGTTCAAAGTAAAGATATGAAGAATAGGCCAATGTTTGAAACGGTCAACTAGAAAGAGAAGGTTCTGCAAAGAGAAAACATATTATTTTAATAAGTGAATAAAGTAATCATCATCAGTGTCTCTAATGCTATCCTTGAATAAAAGGAATTACATGTAATTTATTTTTATTACTTATTATTAACATTAGCAAAGGTGAAATAATGCTCAATTGTAATGTTAAAATACCAAAAAATAAGTTATAAAACATGAAGAATTTCTCTTAGTGTTTTCACAGTCAAAAGTAAATTTGGAAAGGCAAAATATTTTCAAAAGTATTAAAAATTACAAAAAATTAAAATAAAATGTATACTTACTACAAGACTGTGTTCTTGAAAGCCCATTTCCAGCTCCATGCAAACTGGAGTCGAAACTCTGACTGTTTCTCACGGCGACGGGAGAGCTAACGTTGCTACTGATGGTGGTTGTACTTGGCATTCGGGCAAGATTAGGCATACTTCTTCGGAGCTTATCTGGAGAAGTATTTTACCAAGTTAAAAAAATCACAAATTAAAAATAATCAAAGATTTTCTGCTAATCAAAACACTAGCCTCCAAAATTCAATAGAAAAATTAACTAAGTCATACTTTCCTTAACCATGACCAAAAAACCATGTGTTTTATCAACTATAATGAAATTAACCACCTGTATTGAAAAATACAATCAACAACTCCAGAAGAATTCCACCAAAAGTTACCGTATATACTCATGTATACTCCGAGTTTTTCAACACATCTTTAATGCAGTTTTTGTGGTAAAATTAGATGCCTCGGCTGATGTTCGGGTTGGCTTATACTCGAGTATATACGTGTTTTATAAAAAGAGGTATGGACTAATCAATTAGCTTTAACTTAAATTCAAACACCTATAAAACGGTATCAAACGAGGTTAGACTTCAGTTCAGTGCAGTCCTCACTCTCAGAGTCAATTTCCACTGGTATCTCCCTTGACGACAGAGCAGAACTGCTCCTCCAGGTTTCCGAGAGCAGCTAGTGATTGAACTGCTGACCGTGTGTGTAAGCAGCCCCGTGCATAATCCACTACGCTTCCAAGACTCCGAAAATAGAAATATTACATTATAGTGATTGATTTTTAAAAACTAGAAATGAAGATACATAGTAATTTAAGAGGAAATCAAACCAAGAACAATCAACATGTTTTCTTACTCTTTGTGCTAACTTACAAAAATAGGACAAATTAACTTGAGATTCCAACCTGAGGCGCTATAAAATGCTCTGAGATAATTACTCATCATATCCACATGGACATATCAACTATTTGGAAAGTTTTAACTGTCGACATGTATGCCACGAAGAGCTTTGTAGAAAATGAGAAGGGTTCCCTTTCTTTCTCACTGTAAGAACATCTCCTGCCACCAGAGGGCAGCAGAGAGTCATAAGGAACGCTCAATGTTCCTGAGATTTGAAATGACCCTCGGATGATCAAAAAATGACCAATAACAAAATCCAAATGATGGAGGGAAAGGTATCAAAACTTGAATTGTGAACATCCATTTTAGAGAAGGGTATGGAAGGTAGTGGGAACCCAGAATCCATCTGGAGAGTGCATATTTGGATTAAATATCTGGCAGATCCCCTCTGGCAACATTCTTGGGAACAGTCTTGCTATCAGAAAAAGATTATTGTAAACTTGATTATGGTGCATAGAAATACAATATGATACAATACCTGGTCAGTTGACCTCCCTTTTGGCCCATTCTGAATGCTCTAAGTTTAAGTATTTCTTACTTATGAATTTTCTCTCTGGCTTATTTTAATATTGCTGGAGGTCTTTTTTTCTTAGTTTAGTTTTGTATTGTTTCTGTTACATTCCCAGTTTTTGAAACACAGAAGGACAGGATGCACAGAGACAATAACTGATGTATTAGCTTATTGGGGATGTGGAGAGTGGGGATTGAGGGAAATTGGGGAGCCAATAATGAATACAGGAGGAGGGAGGGTACCCTAGAACTGATTGGCATGTGTATAATTGGTGACTGTGTTTCAGAGGACAGCACTGAAGCTGCAGCTTGGGGAGAGGGACACTTCTGATTGGAGCACACAGGAGAAACGAAGAAGGACGGAGAGGGAGGGAGCACAGCCTGTCTCCACAAGCCCTGAGGACGGTATTCCTGCCGAGCAGATAATGAACAGAGGGGACCAGAAGGCCAGCCCCACCACGGGACACGACATCCCTCACTGAACCATAGCGCTACAGGGAACAACACTGGAGGCACGGTGCGGGAATTGTGCCCAATCTGAATCCTTCACACTGGGATGAAACACTAAGAAACAGAGCAGCAAGGGGAGCAAAGTGATGAAATCCCCAGAGAAGACGAAAAATAGACTTTGAGGACAAAGCGTGGAACCCCATCAGACTCAACTGGAAAACACGCCTAAAGGTCAAAAACAGATCTGGAACTATTTATAGGCTTTTCCTTTTTTTACCATTGGCTTTCTTTTTGTTGTTGTTACTCTGTTTTTGATTTTTGTTGTCATTGTTGTTTTGTTGGTTTTGTCTTCCTTTGTTGTTTTGTTTGGCTTTGCCTAGTTTTTGCACTTATTAATGTCTCTGCATGTCTATCTAGATAAGATAGGCGGATACACAATTCAGAGAGGAAAACAACGGAACAGATGGTTCCAGAGGGACACGGGAGAAGGGGAGGTGGGAGAAAGGAAGGGTGGAGGTCAACCAACTCAGGGACAAGAGAATAACAAGTGAACTAAAATCAATAGAAAGAAGAGCATAGGATGCCTAGTGGGGCTTAATCAAGGGCAATGTAACAGCGAGGAATTACTAAACCTGAATGAAGGCCAAACATGATGGTGGGACAAGAGGAAAGTAAAAGGAAATAAAAGAAAGAACCAGGAGGCAAACGGCATTTACAAATATATTTTTATATAATGATAGGGAAATAGATCTATGTACTTATACCTATATGCTAAGAATTAAGGTAAGAGATGGACATTGGGTCTCAACTCAAGCACTCCGTCTACACAAGAACACTTGGTTCTAATAATCCAGCATTCTGTGATGCTCACCTTCCCGACACAAAGACAAAATAGGTACATAAGCAAATGTGAAGAAAGCTGATGGTGCCCGGCTATCAAAGGATATAGCATCTTGGGTCTTAAAGGCTTGAAAATAAACAAGGGGCCATCTAGCTGAGAAGCAACAAAGCCCACATGGAAGAAGCACACCAGCCAGTGTGATCATGAGGTGTCGATGGGATCAGGTATCAGGCATCTAAGACACAAAACAAAATCATACCAATGTGAAATGGGGGGGATGGGTAGGAGGGAGTGGGGTGGAGAGTGGAGACCCAAAGTCCATCTTTAGACAATTGGACATCCCCCTTACAGAAGGGTCACAGGGAAGAGATGAGCCAGTCAGGGTGCAGTGTAGCACCAATGAAACATACAATGTTCCTCTAGTTCTTTAATGCTTCCTTCCCCCCACTATCATGACCTCAATTCTACCTTACAAATTGGATTAGACTAGAACATGCACACTGCTACAGATAAGAGCCTGAAACACAGAGAATCCAGGCTAGATAAACCCCTCAGGGTCAATTATGAGAACAGAGAAACCAGGAGGATAAGGTGAAGGTGGGGAAGAAAGGGGAACTGATCACAAGAATTGACATATGACCCTCTCCCAGGGGTGAACAACAGAAAAGTGGGTGGAGGGTAGCAAAGGATGATGTAAGATATGAAAACAATAATAAAGGTTTCATAAGGGAGGGAGGGTGGGGGAAGGTGGGGGAAAATAAGGAGCTGACATAAAGGGTTCAAGTAGAAAGAAAATTCTTTGAAAATGATGATGGCAACATATGTACAAATGTGCGACACGATGGACGAATGTATGGATTGTGATAAGAGATGCAAGAGCCCCCAATAAAAGTATTTAATAAATAAATAAATATGTGAGTTTTATATCAATAAAACAATTGAGAGGGAAATTAAAACCAAAAACAAAACAACCAAATATAAATGATTATAATTTTACATGGATTTTTTCTCAATTTAAACCAAAATCTGAAGTACATAAATCATATCACTGAAGTTCACAGTCTTTTCTTTCAAGCTAAATCAGAAAATAAAAGTTATAATTGGATTCTAAGGCAAAATTGGCCGAGTGCAAAACAGCATCATTATTTTTACCCTCCAGAAACCGTGCCTCCGGTATGTAGCATCGTTCATGGACCTGTCTGGGGGAAGCTGCCTAACCCAGAATGTTGGGGATTTCCTTATGGTTCACTTCCTTTTCTACCGTAGACTCTAAGTCCTGTGTCAATTCTACCTCGTAAATATTTCTTTAATGAACCTTCCACCGCCACCTCATTAGAGGCTTCGTATGTATTACTTAAGAAAAAGCACACGCTTTCAATTTGTTTCCATGCACTCTCCTTTCCTTCCATTCACGTTCCATCAGCCAATTCCACTCTCTCTAGAGCACAGCAAACACCTCCTCAGGCTTTTGCTTAAGAGCCCCCAACCCTAATTGTCCCCCTTCGTATTCATCCAAAAGTCCAAAGTGCAGGGTTCGTCAAGACTTTATTTACCCTTGTGCACGGCTACGCCAGAGATCCAGCCCACTCTACAACCTTGGTGGGAAAATGAAGTTCCCAGATAGGTCCCTCCACTTGGATACACTTTACCACTTTTTGCAAATAACGAAAGAGCAAGAAAATGTTTTTGAATATATGATAACGGACACACACTATATAAGATAGTAGGCAATCGGATGGCACAAACATGCAGGCATTTGACTAGCTGACAGGCTGGTTTGAGCCCATGCAGACATTAGAATCAATTCATTGACAGCGAGAACAGCGCTGACTAGAGTTCAGCCACATCCCTTATATCCTCTTATACCTTCTTTTTTGTCTGAGGGGTTTCTCAAGATCTCATTTAGCTTTTCTACTATTCCTGTACATTTCTTTCTTATCACTAAAATCACTTCTGAACATCATAAAGTGGCTGGAAAACTGAGTTATCAATAAAACGCTAAATTAAATGCTTCCTAATTCTGTCAGCCCCTGAATTACTACATCCCTTTACATTATTGGCTATTGATAAGAACATAAAAGGGTGGTTCTTTTGGCATCAGAAAGGTACCGAGGTAGTGCAATAGTCAATCCACCAGCTGATCTACAGTGGAAAGAAATGGCAGTCCACTTCTGTAAAAATGTGCAGCCTGGGCACCTCTGCGGGCAGTAGTTCTGTCCGTCGTCGAGGGTGGCTATGAAACACTCTGACTCGTTGGCGACGGGGGTTTGGTATTTTGGGTTTCTCTGACATCAATACAAGAAAAAACATTTTCATGTACAGTCCACACGTACTAAAACCCATACAATGTTTCATTTCTAAGGTAAACAGATAAGAAAACTGAATTTAGAGAGTTTAAGTAAATTGTCCAAGTGATATTAACGATTTAATAATAAAACTGAGATTAGTATCAATGGCAATGCTTAAAGGCACTCCAAATAACAGTTAACACCCTTTGTTACAGAACACTGATGGTTCCTTCATCTTGTGTGCAATGTGAATGAAAGCACTTTTCAAAATGTTTATTTACCAATCTTTACCTTCTAATCCACGAGCTCTGGTGGCACTGTTGGCTGGGTGTGTGCCTGCTGACTGCACAGCTGGTCGCTCCAGCCTGGCAGTCACGCCACAGAAGAAAGAGGAGACTGCAGTCCCTATGCGTCAGCATGAGCTCATTGGCAGTGCTCTGGTGTTTTGGATAACATGTAGCCTTAGTCAAAAGGATGGGTTTAATATGCAAATAAAGCGCCAAGACAAAAGTCTGCCATGTGGAAATTCTAGTGTTATGGAAGATTTAAGCCCAAAGTCCTCTGATTCCAAAAGCAGCACATGTATAAAATACAACTTTGCCTTGGGAGCAGTAGTTGAAAAGCTTCAAACCAGAGTCACGTCTACACTTGAGTTGGGTACAGAGAGCTGCAGTCAAACAGTTTGTCCAGAGAAGTAGAGTCAGGCCCAGACACACACAAATCACTTCACTCCACAACTGCCTTCATGGCTCTAATACACAGTCACCTTCCTAATACTCATGTTCAATTAGGCCATGAGCACTGAAATAATTTAAAACTCAATTTCTCGAAAGCATGTAATTAGCATTAAACTTATCAGCAAGACCCTTACTTTACAGATAAAGAAACTGAAATCAGAAATGTTAAATGACCTTGTTGGGTCATAAGCTAGTTAAGAGGCAAAGCCACAAAACCACGAAATTGGTCATGCAGCAAGTTTGCATTACACTGATTTTAAAAATTAATTAATTTGTTTGTTTGTTTATTTATTTATATCATTTTATTGGGGGCTCAGGCAACTCTTATCATAATCCATCCATCCATCCATTGTGTCAAGCACATTTGTACATTTGTTGCCATCGTCATTCTCAAAACATTTGCTTTCTGCTTGAGCCCTTGGTATCAGCTCCTCATTTTTTCCCCTCCCTTCCAGCTTCCCCCTCCCTCTTGAACCCTTGATAATTTATAATTTTTATTATTTTTCATATCTTACACTGTCCAACGTCTCCCTTCACCCACTTTTCGGTTGTCCGTCCCCCAGGGAGGAGGTTATATGTAGATCCTTGTAATCGGTTCCCCCTTTCTACCCCACCTTCCCTGCACCCTCCCAGTATCGCAACTCTCACCACTGGTCCTGAAGGGGTCATCTGTCCTGGATTCCCTGTGTTTCCAGTTCCTATCTGTACCAGTGTACATCCTCTGATCTAGCCAGGCTTGCAAGGTAGAATTGGGATCATGATAGTGGGGGTGGGAAGGAAGCATTTAGGAACTAGAGGAAAGTTGTATGTTTCATTGTTGCTACATCGCACCCAGACTGGCTCGTCTCCTCCCCGAGACCCTTCTGTCCAGTGGCCTACAAATCGGCTTTGGATCTCCACTCTGCACTCACCCTCATTTATAATGATATGATTTTTTGTTCTTTGATGCCTGATACCTGATCCACCTCGTGACCACACAGACTGGTGTTGCCCTGATTTTTAAAACAAGTCTTTACCCATTCATATTTCAGCACAGTCAGTTTTACAAAGCTTCCGATTTGAAATGTGCTATTAAAAATAAAACCTTCCAGATGTAAATATCTAGGACACTATGTAGCTGGGAAGGGGGCTGAGAACCCCAGGTTATGTCAGGCTATCTGAAAATGAAGCACACCTGCATGTCACACAGTGTGATGCCCTAATAGCCATATCTACGTTAGAGTTTAAGGAACCAAAAGAAATACTATATTTCTGCATTCACAGATACAACAATTTATCTTCCAGGATCAAAAGGCTGCAGGAAACTAGATCAGTAAGCAAAAGGAAGCATGAAAATGAGTGTTCTCGTTATCTAAGAAACATCAAGATGTTATTGAGAAATCTGTAAGCATCTAGGGAATAACTCACTTGCTCACTGAACAAGCTAGCTTTCTCTTTTCAGTGCAGACAGGATTCTGATAACACCCGGCATTTGACATATTCAGCCTAAAGATTATAGCACCTGTCAGTAAAGATTCTGTAAAAGGTGGCCGTTTTTTACATCTGGTGAATTACTTCAAATATACTCCTTTCAAAGGCATGACCCCATGACATATTTTTAAAAATTTTAAGAGCCCTATTGCTTTTGTGTCTAGACAATATAAGGACCAGGGAAGCATTATATATACACATTTATAATTTATTCTCAGTTCTTAAAAACTTAATGAAGATTCAACAATCATATTTTTTAATGATTTTGATGACATAAAAATAATTGATAGATCAGTTTCAAAGTTAGCTTTCTAATTTCAAAGCTTTTTTTGAATAATATTCTGTGGTAACAAAAGGAAGCTCAGATATTTGAACTATGATTTTAAGATATAGTTTAAAAAGAGGGATAACCTTTACATTCCAGGTAATGTAACATTCATTGTGTCATTTCTTCCCCACCACCAGCCTAGACTGAGAGAATACGTGGTTCTGTGTGAAATTATACCTAAGCTTTTTAAGAGGTTGGCTGTGCCCACAAGTTCATTCCGACTGACAGTGATAGTGTACGCTGAAGTAGAGCCACTCCAGGGGATTCTTAGCTGCCAGCCTTGCAGAAGAGCCCCGGTAGTCCACTGGTTCAGACACAGACTGCTAAACAGAAGCTGAGTGCTTGTCCCAGTGGAGAAGGATGCGGCAATGCGCTTCTTTAAAGATGACTACCTGGGACATTCTGTAGGCAGGTCTACCCTGTCCTATAGGATTACTATGAGTCAAAATCTACTTTTTTTTCCCAAATTGCCTGGTCTTTTCTCCTCCAGGTTCGAGCCAAATACCTATAGGTTAGTAGCTAAGCAGCTAACCACTGCACCACCAGGGCTTCTAGATAATAAATTAGTCACTATGATATCCTTTAGCTACAACTATTTTCTTTTAAATTTAAAAATTAAAGAACTAAAACAACTCAGAGAAACAATGAATATAAAATTTTAAATATTCTCAAATGATTTCTTAAATAGCATGCTTGTTACAAATCCAGATGAGGAAAAGTAAACCCTAAAAACACAATAATAATTCAACCAACACTAATTGAATTTTTATTTGGCCTTCAATATTTTAAAATAGCTGATTTGATCATTCTGGGCTTACTTTCAAGGCATGGTGCTAATTACTAAACATTTTAACTGATTACATATGAATTATCTGTAAGTTTTTTGTTTTTTTCATATGATGTGGCTGATGCTTAGAATGAAAATACATCTAAGCTTACACTGCTACATAATCTATAACATGACATTTAATGTTGTCCTCTCTCTAGTTCTTAGAAGTCAAAAAACTAAACAGCTAGAAGTGGAAAAATATTGATGATGAGAAAACAGGAAAAATGAGCTGAGGAAGAATGCCACACACACACCACACTGATGATATACACTAGAATAAATCACCTTCCCACTCCCACCCCAACCATTAGCATCGCTGTCAGGACGGCTGCATTCTGTCACATGGATCTTGAAGGCAGCAGCATTTTGGTGGTCGGGTTCCCACCTTCCAAGCACAAGCTGTCAGTGGCGGCTTGCCTGTTACCATGATCCTGAGCAGGTTTCAATGAAGCTCCCAGGCTCCAGTGAACTAGGAAGAAAGACCTAGTGATCTGTTCCCAAAGGTCACTCAAGAAAAACTGATGACAGAAGCCCTATCTCCTTGCCCATAGGCTTCCCATGATTGAGGGTTGGCTGGCCAGCGGCTAACAACATAGAGAGTTTCATTCTAGATGTCAAGAAACTAGAGCAAGAGACATATCCCAAACTTCTAGTACATTTGAATATACACAGTCCCTTCTTTTCCAAACACTAGCATTTAAGGTAACCATTAGGAACAGGAAAGGGCAGTAACAAAGGAAGTGTTTCAGGAAAAGGGAGAAAAGACGCAACAGAGCTTTTGACTTCAGGGTGTTCCATCACCCACACTTCGAGGTGTACAATCCCGTACAAACTATGGGTGTATCAGCATTGGCATAGATTCTCCACATCTCTAACCCACTCTCAGTCAGCTACATCGTGATGGTTCCCTTGAAGCTGCACATCTCAAATGGTTCATTAATTATAAATTTAGACCAAACAAATAAAAGCTTGATGGGAATTTTAATAATCTGAGAAGTACTTGCCAAATTATTTAAATTGACCTTTAAACCACTTCTTGACACAAAAGCTCAAAATATACCGAGTGCCAAAAAGGCATATAACCTACCTCCATTTGCCCTATTTGGTTGCTGATCTGGAGTTTGGGCTTGAGATGAATAATACTGTTGCGGCTGGTAATTACTTGAAGGATAATACTGGGAATTTGAACTCCTTTTACAATCACGAATGCTAGAGAAAGTTTGTGAATGGGGAATTCCTCTTTGGAAAGGTGAGCATCTTGGAAGACGGGGTTGAGGTGGTGGTAAATGGTCAAATTCTTCCTCATCCTCCAGGCTGTATCGATCATATTCTTGATCACTACACAGACCCTTTTTTCCTGAATTCAGTGACCCACTGGAACTATATCTTGACACAGATGCTGAAGTAGAAGCGTAATCTTGCCTGAGACCTATAAAGAAAATTAAAAAATATTCTCTTTGAGTTATTTCTATATAGCTAAAATAAAAATATTTATTAATCACATATTTCAGGAAAATGTATACCAAACAAATTATTCAAATAGAGACCCATCATCTGAGTTTATTAAATCCCAAACTGGAAAATAAACATCTAGCTACCAAATGAATGTCTAATATTAGAAAACTCTGGTTTGCGAACTGATTTTCTCAAGTTCCTTGAAGATTAGGTATACCTGCTACAGCTCATATATGTACCAATTTCCTCAAATAACCTCCTTTCAGGTCTAGAGAGCTAGTCAAGAAAGCTCTTCAAGAAAGGTCAAGAGAGCTATTTCATCATCATTATAAATAGTTAGTTGTGAATTAGTTACTAGTAGAAGACCCTCAAGGAAGTAGGTTAGTATAGTGGCTGCAACTATGAGCTCAAATATAACCAACACTGTGAGGCTAGTGCAGGACCCCAGGCAGCCTATGCATCTGCTGTACACACAGTGTCACTTACAATGAGTTGGAACTGGCTCGAGGGCACCCAAGTAAATGAGTTAGACAATTAAAATAATCTTATCTCTGCCAAAGAATTCCTTCTACTTTCTATCGCTACCCCAACTTTCAAAGTCAAAGAACATTTCAAAACCTAGGATACAAGTATTTTCTAACAAGGTCAACTCTTTTTTATAGTTCACTTGATACTTTAATCTTCAATGATTTGGGTCATGATACATGGCAAATGTTTAAAAGTCAAACCGGGAAATTTTTACTTAATCCGCATAGCTAATGTCACAACTTTTTCCAAAAATAGTTTCTCTCTGACTTTTCTTTTCCTTTTCAAATTCCTTACAACTTGATTTCTGATACAGACATCCATTTTTTATTTTTAAGCCCTATATTTTTATTAAGAGGAGTTAACCTTTCCCTCAAATGTTATCTGATAAAATCCTACCTCAATCTTACAATGTTTCTCACAGTAGCCTTAATTCTAGGCCATTTCTTCTTATCTTGGTCTGAAAAGATAACTAAAACAAGCATAGCTCAGTCCATGACCTACATTTTATTGTGCCTTTTGACATAATTGACGCCCTTGAAGTATTGCACCCCCAGACCTGTTATAACTCCTTTGAAGAAGCAGTGATTTACTCTGACATTTCTGATTATCTACTCTTCCAGTTATTTTCCTTGAGAAGTTTAATCATGTGTTTTCTAATAGATGACTTTATTAAGATAACTACAACTCACATATAACTATAATATAGAAAAATTCTTTGTGCATTTTACAGTTTCCTCTAATGGAAATGCTCTACAAAAATAGAATATATCACAACATGATTCTGATACCAATACCATCCACTCTGTTATTCAGATTTCCCCAGTTTTACTCATGTATGTGCATCTGTATTAAGTTCTATCTGTACATGAAGGTTCTCACGCATGGGTTCATGTATACCCTAACACTGAAGAGTTTCAACACTTAAAAAAAAGTAAACAAACAAAACCCTCCTGTTGCCTTTCAGTAAGCCCATTGACTGCCTCCCATATCCACTAATTTTTCTTCCTCTTTAAAAAGGTAATCACTTAAAAAATGCTATATAAATAGAATTACATCACATAGCATTCTTCTTGGGATTCATTTATTTTCACACAGTACACTTTTGGGGCAATTCAACCAGGATGTTTATTAATATTACTTTCCTTTTTATTGCTGAGTAATATTCCATGGTATGGATACACTACAACTTGTTTAACCATTTACCTAGTAAGGGTATCTGGGTGGCTTACCGATAATGATCACTATAAAGAGTAGAGCTGCCTCCTTAAAACAGAATTGACCATAGTGATGGGGCTCAGGCTAAGCTTTGGGGATCTTCCTGTGCTGATGGGGTATGGCTAAAAGTGAGAAGAAATACCTGCAAACATCCAAATCATGGAATGTATTAAGAATTGAGTCTAAAATGGGTGCATAAGCAAATGTGGCGAAGAAAGCTGATGGTGCCCAGCTATCAAAAAGTATAGTGTCTGGGGTCTTAAAGGCTTGAAGGTAATCAAGCAGCCATCAAGCACAGAAGCAACAAAGCCCACATGGAAGAAGCACACCAGCCTATGCAACCACGAGGTGTCGAAGGGATCAGGTATAAGGCATCATCAGAACAAAAAAATCTTACCATAGTGAATGATGGAGGTAGTGCGGAGTGGAGACCCAAAGCCCATTAGTAGGCCACAGGAGATCCCCTTGCAGAGGGGTCTCGGGGAGGAGATGAGCCAGTCAGGGTGCGATGTAGCAACGATGAGAAATACAACTTTCCTCTAGTTCCTAAATGTTTCCTCCCCGCTCCCACTATCATGACACGAATTCTACCTTGCAAGTCTGGCTAGACCAGAGGATGTACACTGGTACAGATAGGAACTGGAAACACAGGGAATCCAGGGCGGATGAGCCCTACAGGACCAGTGGTCTGAGTGGTGAAACAGGGAGGGTAGAGGGAGAGTGGGTAAGAAAGAGGGAACCGATTACAAGGAACTATATGTGACCTCCTCCCTGGGGGATGGACAACAGAAAAGTGGGTGAAAGGAGATGTTGGACAGGGCAAGATATGACAAAATAACAATTTACAAATTATCAAGGGCTCATGAGGGAGGGGGGAGTGGGGAGGGAGGGGAAAAATGAAGATCTAATGCCGGGGGTTTAAGTGGAGAGGAAATGTTTTGAGAATGATGAGGGCAATGAATGTACAAATGCGCTTTACACAATTGATGTGTGTATGGATTGTGATAAGAGTTGTATGAGCCCCTAATAAAATGATTAAAAAAAAAAGGAATTGAGTCTAAAAAGGTGGAAGTTGTGGAAAATTAAATGGAACACATAAAGATCAAACTCTTAGACATTAGTAGGCTGAAATGGGCTGAGATTGGATATTTGGAATCAGACTATCATATGGTTTACTCTGTCAGAAATGACAAATTCAAGAGTAATATATCACATGCATAATCAAAAAGGATATTTCAAGATCTATCTTGAAGCACAGGGAGATTTGTGATAAGATAATAGCTATATGTCTACAAGGAAGTCCAGTTAATACAATGATTATTTAAATTTACATACTAACTACTAAAGCCACTATTGAAGAAATTTAAGAATTCTATCAACATCCTCTATCTGAAATTGACCAGACATGCAATTACTAGATTATGAATAAATCTTGGCAACTAGAACATGAAAGTAAGAAATAAAAAGTCAGGGACAATACTTGGAAAATTCAGGTTGGGTAATAGAAATGAAGCTGGAGATCACATCTTAATAATTGTAGAAGACAAATCTGTCATTGTGAAACATGTTTTTTTAACAATAAAAGCAGTAATAGTACAAATGGATCTCACCATTTGGAATATTTAGGAGTCAAAGTAACTCTATCTGGGGGAAGAGATCATTGAAAAACTCATAATAGCTGCTAAAATGAGAACAGGGGCATATATAGACTAGGCCATTAATTACTTATATGTAAGTTTGAGTTGAAGTTGAATTCAACAGCAGTTGCAGCAGTGCATTTACAGAGAGCTGCCAAAAATTGAAAGTCGGATTCAAAAGAGGAAATGGAATGAAGAAATAAATCATTGCTGACATCCATAGACTGAAAGCAGAAAGCATACTGGTAAAAAAAATGTTCGTGTGTTTTATTGAATATGCAAAGGCATTTTACTGTCTGCATCAAAGCACACTGATGGTTCCCAGAAGAACAAGCAAGTCTGTCTTGGAAGCAGTGAAGGTGGCAAAGCTTCATCTCAAGGATTTGGGGCGTGTTAGCAAGCTGGACCAGGTCCTGGAGAAGGACATCGTGCTTAGAAAAGCAGAAGACCAGAGAAAAAGAGGAAGACAGTAAGCAGAAAGATGGCCACCGTGGGTGTGTGAAGACGGTGCAGGACGGACTAAGGTCTCACTCTGTTGTATGCAGGGTTGCTACGACTGAACTAACTCAACAGCACCTAAAACAGTGACAAGAAATATTCATGGATGTGTTTCTACGCGAGCAAATTTTCTCTTGCTCTGGGATAAATGTCCAAGAGTGCAATTCCTGGGTAGCACAGACATTTTGTTTTCAGTTATTTTATTTAGTTTGGTTTCATTTTTTCCCACCAAAACTACTTAAACTGTTTCCTAGAATGACTGTACCAGCAATGTCTATACAAACAATGCATTTTGATCAGAGTAAATACTAATTTTATGACACTCAACAGGAAGGCGGAAATGATTGCTCTGTCTACAAGGTAAGCTCTTAGGAGATAAAGGATCCAATTGTTTTGCTCGTTCCTTAGGGAGAAAACCTGAACCACCTTTTCTACTTCATGTGGAAGTCTCATACTTTTCTAGCTTAAAAAGAACATACTTTCTTCTTGCAGACGAGCCATGATCTGAACATCAGTGAGGTCCTGTAACTTATATCCCATGGAAATGGAATCATCCTCCAGTTCTGAAGTACTCGGCTCACTGTCTATAGATGACTGGGGACTGAGGGGGGAGGCCCTCGAAGTGTAACCTGAAAAACAGAAATATCATTTAGTCTAAAGAACGAAATAACTTATATAAGTATATAAAGATCTGATATAAGTATATATGATTCACAAATAAACAGTCATTTTTATCATTTCATAACATCACAAAATTACTATTATATCACTATTGAAGGACAAAATAACAAACACATCTTCTCATGTTTAGTAACTTGGGAATATTAAAATAGGCATCCTATGAGTTAAGTACATAATCTAAGGGAGGGCAAGAGAGGTTATAATAATATATATTTGTGTACTCTCCATTAATTATAAGATGTGTCTCTGATAGCAATTGCTGCACATTTTAAAATTAAATTTTTAATCTGGTTCATTCACTAATAGGACCAGAAGATATACAAACAGTAGTTCTATAAATGGATAAGAATACCACACATAAAAGGCATACACACATAGAGAAATACATAATAAAATGATCATTTGGAGCAGTGGATTGTCAAAGAAGACTCACAGTCATCCATTACCATGAAAAAGAAAGGCTCGAGATAAGAAGGAAAGAACCATCTGGCAGGAAGCCACAGCGATGGAGCCGCGTCAACGCGGAGACAAATAATGTTGAGATATTCATTCTACAAAATCTCACTGTAATTACATGGCACGGGACTTATTCAAAAAATGACTAGAAAATAACCATATATGTACATATATTTATATTTGTATTTTATAAATATACACATATATGTGTGTATTTACAGACAATCTTGAATCATAATAAAACAAGTTAAATGATCTTTTGACATTTAATTTTAAAAGCCCATTAGGCACTTAAGAACATGTAACTACATAGATATTCTTTTGCCAGAGCAGTAGATCAATCATGTCTGAGTACAAATGGAGGTGCATCCCTTTTGTACGCAAAATGTACACAATCTCCATTACAAGAAGACTTCACGTAAACGGTTCTTTCAAATCTTTTATTATGACCTAATCCAGACACCATACTATCCCATAATTCAATGATATCAAACACTGGTGTAAAACTGCTACCACAACCAGTTTCAAAACATTTTCTTCCTCTTGTATTCTTTGATATCAGCTCCCCTTACCCCCCACCCCCCACCGTACATGCAGGAACCATTATTTATGCTATAGTCTCTACAGGTTTACCCATCCTGGGTTCATGTGCCAAAAAAACATACAAATATACTCATCAAGAGAGTCAAGAAGGCTGCCAACAATGAAAACATACAGGAGATGAACCCCAATATGAAACCAAAACCCACAGAAAAGATTAAAACCAGATCAAGCACAAAGTGTACCAAATGACAATGTTTTAACCACTCAAGTCAGATTTATTATTTTAATCTACTACAGTTGTCTCTCCAATACTCTCTGATACCCAGGTATTGCCATCCCTCAATCATGCTTACAAGGAAATCACCTATTCCCGGTGTTGATCCTGCAAAACTAAAGTTGAATGTTTAGGCTAGGATTAGTGCTGAGAATTACAGCAAGCAAGCAGCTGGTTAAGAAGATGAAATATTACCTGTTCTTTCAGGTGTTAGTATTGCTTTATTCGAGGTTTTAGAGAAGCTGGGAGTATTAGCGCCACTGTTATAAGGACTGAGTCTTGCAATAGGACTATAAGGAAAAGCCAGGGAGGCAGGTGAAGAGAGGAGAGTCCGCCATCGGCTAGCTGTCACAGAAGCAGACAATACAGCAGTTAGCTCTACAGAAGAGATACTGACTTGTCAGAGGGAGAAAGGGAAGGTTTGTTTTTTTTAAATGATAAGACAAAGCAAATTTTCATAGGACTTAAAAAATATGCATTTATATATGGATAAAATGTTAAAATATGCCATTTGTGAACTATGTATAACTCCACTAAGAAAACAATAAATAAAATAACACTGATTAAAAACCAATATACCTATAATGAAATGAAAATTTCCACATTAGAAATATTAGCTTTTTTCTATTCCAGATCAAAGATTTAAGTATTATAAAGGTTAGTTTCAAAAGAAACTCAGAGACATAATCTTTAGAAATGTGGGAAATGGTCTTATTTGTAGTCCCCTATATTTTCCTAAATTTTATTTCCCATCTGTTTAATATTAGAATGTATTGACCAAAGCTTTTAGTAAAAACAAGTTTTGGAATAGAGGAGAAAACACTTAAAACGACCATATCTTTCTGATTTTTGCTGAGTCTAAAAAGGATTTATGAGGAAATTGGACAAAATAATAGAAGAGTTTATACAACAAAATTTAACCATAGCTATTTTCTACAGAGGGTACTCAGATTATTGGTGATCTGCTAGAGATTTGTAGTTTGTAATGTTTCCCACATTTTCTACATTGAACATACATTATTTATTTAAGTTTAATAGGCAGGATTAGACACATTCATTAATTTGATACTATTTTGCTATCAAGGGAAGTGACGAAAAGGCACTGAACTTGCAGTGGTGTCAATGGTCTAATTCTTATATTGCCTTGCCTGTCCTAGTTAACTTACTGCTCTGTGTCAATTCTTGGGATCATGAAATAGACCCTAGATAGCAAAAACTTGAGTACACCACACTAAATATCATTTATAAATCACTGCGTCAAAATCCAGTTTTCTAAAAAGCAATCATTTTATCCATGTCCTAGCAACACGGGAGGGATAATAAAGTATTATATGTATATTAAAAGTATACTCTAAAATACAAATGTATATGAATGTATGTATATATGTGTATATCTATATATATATATATATGTGGGCTCCAAAACATTTGTGGAAAATGGAATTAAAAGATAATGTAATTTTCCATGAACTTTCTGAAATCCCTTGTGTGTGTAATATATATATATATGCTTATCAAATATGTAATTCATTATGTGAAACAGCTCTTCCCAATATAAGCCAGAGCACAGACAGGCAGAGAGGCACATCTGAAAGTCTCTTGCCTTCTAATATGTAAACTGAAACTCAAAATACACTGAAAAATGGGAATTAATGTGCAGCTGTTCTCACCTCTCAAATGACTATTGTTCACATATTTTCATTAAAAATTCTATATTAAAAACAAAACTATTAGTTGTTCTTTGTGACCAATAGCTTGCCTAACAGCTTGTTTTTTTTACCAGTTTGATCACTTGCCAGGCAAATCGCAGTGACGGCTGTTCGTACCCACAGATGCAGGCAACAGCAAATCACAAGTAAACAGCGTTCGTTATTCTGCACAGTAACTCCTGTGAATGGACCACTCAGGCACAATGACACAGTGATTGTGGCTATGACAGCAACAGCCAAGTGAGAACACAATTAGCACTTATTGCCTGAAAGAATGCTCTACATTATCCTTTAGTACTGAGACTTAAAAAGGAGGGGAATTATCAGAGAGGCGAGCTAACAAACAGTGATGCTGTGTTGGTGTCCAGATTTGCAGTGGAGGCGAGGAAGGCTGCGGACTGGGAAAGCAGTGGAAGAGGTCACATCCCGGCTATTCTTCAACAGGTAGCTAATGAATTTCAAGAATTTTGGTGTTTAACAGGAATGGTTTTAGCAGAGTCAGAAAACTAAAAAGAATTTGTCTTAAGGGGCAATTTTATCATTTTTAAGTAGTGAGTGTGACTTTTTTATAATTAATTTTTGTTGTTTTTGTTTAGCAAACATAAATTTCACAATTTCTCCATGTACAACTCAGTGACACTAATTACCCTGAAGCACTTGCTGGTGAAGATCAAAGATTGCAGCCTTCCGTGGGGATTACAATTCAATCTACAGAAGACCCAAACCCTCGCAGCTGGACCAGGAGGTAACATCGTGATGAATGGAGAAAAGACTAAAGTTGCCATTGGGTGCACAATCAAATGCTCCTGGATGCAGCAAGCAGGAGGACAAAGGACACATTGCATAGGGTGGGTCAGCTGCACGAGACCGCTTTACAGCGTTGAAAAGCAAGGATGTTACTTTGAGGACTAAGGTGCACCTGACCTAAGCCGTGATATTTTCTATGGAACAATCCTGATAGAAAGAAGTAGCATGCAGAACATGCACATGATCTATAGCATGTGAAAGTAGACCACCGAATAAGGTGTTTGCATCATGGGGCCAGTGAAGAATACTGAAAGTACCATGAACTACCAAAAAGCAAACAAATCTATCTTGGGGAAGCAGTGCAGTCTACAGTCCGCATGCTCCTTCAAAGCAAGTATCGGGAGACTGTATCTCATATACTTTGGACATGTTATCAGAAGAGACTAGTCCCCGGAAAAGGACATCATTCTTGGGAAACTCGAGGAGCAGGGAAAGGAGGAAGGGCCTCACCAGGATCAATGTACACAGCGGCTACACCAACGGGCTCACACATAGCAACTGTGACGACGGCACTACACTGGGCAGTGTTTCCTTCTGTTGTGCGTTGTGTTGCTATGAGTGGGAACCAACTAGTCATCACCTAACAAAAATGACAATGGCATTCCTTAACTTGTGTGACCATTCTCACGCTCTTTTTCTGAGCTGTCCTCCTCCATTCATATAAACTTACTGTCTTCAAGTTTCCTATCTAAACTTCGGACTTGTTCATTTCAATGTAATCCCCTATAGATATATTATAAAAGAGCAAATGTTCACAGTAGATATTCATCCACCCTCCGTGGCTCCAGAATGTCCGGGTTCCATAAGTATTTGAAATTCTGTTCTGCATGCTACGCCTTTCTATCAGGATTCTTCTATGTTCATTGACGACAGCCAGGTCACATTCAGTTCTTCTGGTTTCATGGCAAAACGGTCACGTGCTTCTGGAGGTAATTGGCCATAAATTAAATGTCTTCCTCTTATTCATGACTCTCCTTCCTCTCTTATTCCAGGCAAACTGAAACCAACTGGTGTACACCTTGGATGGCCACTTGTAAGCCTTTATAAACCCCAGGCATTAAGCAACAAACTAAGAGGTAGAACAGAAATACTAAGCCTGATATTAAGCCAATTAACTGTGACGTCTCATGAAACCCTGACACTTCAACCTCCAAACCAAGCAACCACAGCCTCTGAGATAGATGTTTGTCCGTAAGAAGCCTCAGCTGCTCCGTTCTCTTTCCCTTCCCTGTTGTCACATTATGATGGAAACGTATTCAAGAGGCTCAATGAAGATCAGTAAGAGCCTGAGAGAGGAGAAAGATAATTTTATCAAACGGCTGAGAAAATAACTGACAGAGAAATTGTAAACGAGAGTCCATTTCTCCTGCACTTTTCCCCTAAATTATATCCAGAAGGGGAAATCCAAAATGAAGCATCAAACCAGTTGCGTCAACCTATCCTGGCTCTTGATGACCGTATGTTTGTCACAGAACTGTGCTCCATAGAGTTTTCAATTACCAATTTTTCAGAAGTAGATCATTAGGTCATACACCTTAAACTTGGAGCGGACACAGACTATATATTTGTTCTTTTAATTCCAAGCCAGGAATATCAAGTTGTGCTCACCTATGATGGTACAGAGTTTAAATCACTTGTGTTTGAAAAAGGCTTCTTTCAGAAACACATTAAACTAAGCTGCTTCACGAATCTTCCTTTCCTCATGCTCTCTAGGCCCCTAGGGTTTTGCTGTTGTTTTCAGATGCCATTTAGTCCATTTTCAACACACAGAGACCCCATGTAACAGAGAGCTGCCCCTCGGGTTTCCTAGGCTCAATGTTTACAGAAGCAGACTGTCAAAGTTTTCTCCCACAGAGCTACGTGGGTGGAACGGAACCCCAAACCTTTCAAGTAAACGGTTATATACAGGACTCTATAGTCCTACAGCAACTAGACGATCAATTTTCTGTTAACGATTGTCCAGCCACTGAGACAGTCCTAACCAAGTCTGTTTTGTGCAATCAAAGTTATACTCTCAAACCAAAAAAGCCAAACTCACTGTCACTGAGTAGATTCCAACTCATAGCTACCTGATAGGGCAGAACTGTCCCTGTGGGTCTCAGAGACCGTAACTCCCACCCAGCATGCTCAGATCAGCAGAGAGCAAGAGAGAGGGGGCTGGGTCTTGTAGTGTCATTTATCTCTTTGCCCTCCAATCAAACTGGGACCTGATTAAACCCACATGTTCTTACTGGCTAAGTTGGCACAATAAACCTAACTATCACAACTACTTTGTGCTTATTCAAAATCCGTACTCGGATCAAGAGGCAGCTGTGTAAACAGAACAAGGACATACTGCAAGGTTTGAAATCAGGAAATGTGTGAGTCAGGGTTGCATCCTCTCCTTATATTTATTCAATCTGTATGCTGAGCAAATAGAGAAGCTGAATTATATGAAGAAGAATGTGGCAATAGTATTGGAGGAAAACTTATTAACAACCTGTCATATGTCTGCGGAGAGTGAGGAAGACTGGAAGCACTTGTTGATGAAGATCAAGGACTGCAGCCTTCAGTATGGATTATACCTCAGTGTAAAGAACACGAAAATCCTCACTACTGGACCAGTAGGTAGCACATGGTAAACAGAGGACAGATGGACATTGTCACATATTTTGTCTTGCTTGGAGCCACAAACCAAAGGCTGCATTGGATGGGTAAACCTGCTGCACAAGACTACTTTAGTGTTGAAAAGCAACTACATTACTGTGAGGACTAAGGTACACCTCACCCTGGAAGCCATGGTATTTTCAGTCGATTAATTTGCATGTGAAAGTTGGACACTGAATTAGG